CATTAATTCAATATAATAAAAACTTATAAAAGCAAGTAGTTCAACTCAAAAAATCAAATACTATAAAGCTTATAAAGATTTATCAATTAGTAGGAACTATTTTACAATACAAGTGCAAACAATGTCAATATATATCAAAAATACATACGTCAACTCGTAAACCCTTATTAGCTAATTCTCAAAGTTTAAAAGCAAATATTCAAGCAATTATTATGAAAAACAAATATCATTATACAACAAATTTTCTCAATATAGCTATACAAGTATCATAAATTGGTCAAATGTCATTTCAGAATACTGCTTAAGCTATGCAATTAATCTTAGGTTTTTTAACTGAAGAAAGTTTACTAATTATTTCATCTCAATCTATTATTCAATAGAATCAAAAAATTAGTGAATTTCATGTAAATTAAATTTTTAATCAAAATACTTATTCAGAATTTTTTACTTTTGAAATAATACTAGATGAGTCAACACAAGATTAACACAAAATATTTGTATTATATGTTACATTCTGAAATTTAGAAAATAATAAGCCAGATTTTCAAATTTTAGAAGTAAAAGATTTAGCAATCTGTATCGAAAAATCAGTTGCTTAAACAATACATAATATTTTTAAACATTTTAATATAAACCCACAATAATGCTTTGTTTGTGTAACTGATAACATAAATTATATGAATAGCAAAACTGAAGATATAATCTTTTTATTTAATAAGTTAAGTAGTACTAACTTGTTTTGAATTCCCTATGAACTTCATGTTGCACACATTATAATGAATAATTTTGAAGAAATTGCCTTTTATAAGTTGCTTAGTATTAGTGAATTTTCACAAAAATAACTTTTGGCAAATCTTTTATATTTGGTTTGAAATCTTCATAACAACTATAATAAAACAGACAAAGATAAACCAAAGGGAATTTGATCAGATTATATTTGCAAACTTTATGAAGAACTATTTAGATATTAATTAATAAAGTATCAACAACTCATTCGATCAAAATGGCTTTATAAATTAATATATGCTGAGCAATATTTAGAACGAAAAGATATTCATATACAATTTATAGAATGGTTTTTAACATGCCTTAAAGCCAAAAAGAAAATACCAAAAGCATATATTAAAAGTGTGAATTATTTCAGAACTGGCTTCATAATCTAATTCTTAATATTTAAATTAAATTACTAGTTCAATTTAAAAAAGCTTTTATTATCCAATAGTCAAGTTTCTTATAGGATATGATTCTGAATTACAAATAATATCAACCCAAGATTTTATATCAATAAACCTTCTTCCTGGTCAATGCACATATCAAATGTCTGATTTTGTAGTTCATACAATAATGAGACTTCAAAATATTGTTAAAGATCCTTATTCATTTTTCAAAATAGAGTTACTAGAAGATATTGATTTGCTCAATGATTATCAAATTAATAAAATTATACTAGATCTTAAACATGGTACTCAAAAGGCATTGGAATTTCATCAAAAATGGTTGGATTATTGATTGCACTTACCATTAAGCATTAGTCATCTAAGTAAAATTTATGGATGAGAATTTGTGCAAAGCTTTGCTCATATTATTTTAGGAATACTTTTGCTATCAGTACCTTCATTGAGAAAATTGTGTTATATGAAATTTCTTAAATTAGATATTGAATGTGATGAATCCAATGACTTTGACCTATCAGCTATATTAAGAGATCCAATATTTAATTATGAATTTTACCAGTTTATCCAAGAACAAAATTCTCGAAATCAACTTTCTAAGATGTTTGAATTTGTTAAAAATCGAATCTAATATATTATTGTTCATCAATAACAAGTAAAAGGTCTTTTCAACAAATGGGATCTTAAAACT